CCATCCATCCATCCATCCATCCATCCATCCATCCATCTATCTATCTATCTAGTCTGTCAAGAGAATTTGCAAGAGATTTTTAACATTTAAGGACTTTTGTTGTTGTAAAACCAATAAGAGTCTCAAACCGAAGAGCAAGCGATTCAAATAAACTTTTTTTTTTTTTTTCTTCAAATGCCCTACAATTTAAGTGTGGAGATTGTATCTCATTCTGTGGATCTCCCAGTCACGGACATTAACCATGGATTCGTATCTCTCTCAATCTTTTCAGTTAAAGGCCACTCTTAGACTCATCTTTCAAGCATCTGACAAGATTCACCTCATACCTGGCTTTTCCAGCTCTCAAGTTCTCATTTATGAGAATAATTTTTTTTCTTCTTCTTTTTTTGGCTCTCATAATGGATGTGGTTAAAGTTTGGGTAGAGCAAGAGGGTTCTAAATCACAATAAAGGTCCATCTGCGTCCCTGAACCCATGAGTGACTGATTGGGCATGATCTGGAAATTATGGTGCCTGGAAATTAAATTTGATTTACTTGTACCATTACTTGATTTACACTAATATAAATGTAGTGTTTGGGAGGCATGAAGAGATACTAGCCTACTCGGGGTACTTCAATCTTAGTGTAACTGTAAACGAGTGTCAGATGCATAGGTAATTATTGCATATGACTAAATGCAATACTTGAGATTCTTCATAGATGTGATCCTGGAAACACAGCCCTCTCAAATCCACATTAAATTACATTCCACTCTTATGGACACCGAGGACATCCACCCCTCGGACTTGACCTTCAAATCCATTGATTACCTTATCACACAGGGATTACTCTGCCATCTATATTGCCGTACCTCTCGGCCCATTCCTAATACTGTCAGTATGGATGAGTAAAGTGTTTTTTTTTTTTGTTTTTTGTTTTTTTTTTGGTTTTTTGTCTTTCCATAAGAGATTAAACTTAATTTTTAGATTATTTTTGTATGTGGTTTCGGCGTCATATCGATCAGTGGTGGTGACCTTTACTTTTATTGAGCAGTTTAGTAAATTGCCCTTGTTGTCATCGGTCTTTTCCACAGACTGAGAGTCACTCAGGGACAGTATACATTATATTGATATAATTTTGACTGACTTAAGATGTTGATAGAATAATAATGATAATAATTATTATTATTACTATTATATACATTTTATTAAGAAAATAATACGTTATCTAAGTAAATGATGAGTATGATGATAGTTTTATTTTAGGTACATGAAGTATTTTAATATTTTTTTATCTATATTTTTTTAAGAAATTATAATTTTTAGATATTAAATTGATCAACAGTTACAGTAAAGACATTCAAGACAAGACACACAATTTCACAAAATAATTAGATTTCAAATAAATGCTGTTATTTTTAATTTTCCATTCCCTGAATCTTGAATTTCTGAATTCCCCACTGTTTTACAATCAGCATAGTAAGCTCCATTCAGCCCATCAGAAACATGCAGTGACAAAGCAACATGATCAGTTTCAATTTCAATTTTAATAGAGAGCTGGTGATTTCCGGCGACACAATCACCAGTGACCATTGGCGACAGGCTGGGGGCATGTCCAGCGATGCGATAAAGCTGAGATATGTTTAACTTATGCAAATGAAGAGCTACTTACGAGAGTGACAACTAATAAGTCCGTCACTACATCCTGTTGTGGAGTAGAAAGATGGAGCAAGATGGAGGAGAAGCTCATTTTAGCAGTCAGAAACATTCCTAAAATATATGATATGTCTCTGTGTACAGGTGCTGACTCTGAGCTTGAATGGATTCGTGAAGACAGATACACTGTATACAAGAGCATACTGTTTCTCGTTCATCTTTAAAGCATGTTATGATTCCATTTGTCAGTCTTTTTCTTACAAAATGTTTGTCTGTAGCGGCAAGAAAATGGATGGATTTGTAATTCACAAAAGATTACTAGTCAACCAGTAGTGGGAACTCTCACTAGCGACATGCAACTACAAACTTTACCATTTAGGGGGTAAAACTGGACAATCGTATGTTAATGTCATGTGCAGTGGAAAGGCAGCTTAAAACTGTAGTCTAAACTAACTGAATGATGTCAGATTGTGATTGCCACTGTCCTTTTTTTGTGAACAACATTCTAAATTACTATCTAACTCTCTCTATCGTTTACGTTCCTTCCTGTCGCTTTTCATCTTGGTTTGAAGTGGACCTGAAGTGGTGCCTTCCCAAGACACATGGTCTCACTCGAGTGAATGATATTCTTCAACAGGAGTGAAATAAGATACAATATCATTTCTTTATAGCTGTAACCTCCTTCCTCGCCGCAGCAGTGCTTTAGAGACCCAGTGGGTCTACCTTATTCCTGCTTCACTCTCTGACCATGCCGGTTCCCCAGTTATATCACTATCAATTAAATTATCAGCAATGGATGAGCACGGGCATGAAATTGCTTTACGTTTTCTCACAGGGGCTTGCTGCCAGCCACAATTTCCCCAGCTACATTTCACACAGCAGACGGGCGGGCTACAAAAAGTCATTTTTGACTGATTTGAGGATTTGTCAGGGAATGTTGAAGACAAGAAATGGGCCATTGGGCCAAGAGCTCAGCGAGAGGAAACCCACTCCAGTGAACTTTCTTGAAAGCCCTATTTTTGGTGCCATTATCAGATTATTATTCAGATTTAAGCACTTGAAGTGTCTGTGATGAAACTATTGTGATGTAAAGCAGTGATGTCTCAGTGTTTCTCTCTTCCCACTGCCAAAACTAACTTGCCCAACTTTTGTAACTTTCTAAACGAGTTTCTAGAAGTCTTCTTGGTTTTACCCTAAAACATCATGGAGCCAAGTAAGTAATAATCTCACAGGGAGGAGCTTTAAAACCCAGGGAGGCTTGAAAATGTCAAATGCAACGCTTTTTTTCATCTTTGGCTTTGGCTGATGTTCATCTACCCATGGTACAGTGTCATTCATCAATCTGAAGGGCTGCAACCAAAAGTAAATACTCAGAGAGGAACATGAAGTCAAAGGTTAGCTGTTGGTATTGAGCTGCTTAATGTCATCATTGGTCTTATTCTCAAAAGTCAAAAGTCAGTACGCAGCTTCTGTGACCATGAGCATAGTGATAAATGATACGTCGAAGCACACAAAACTCATGAGGAGGAAATCTCATTTAGTGGCTTATTGTACGGTTTGCAAAAGTAAGAAACAAGGTATTAAAAAGAAACAATGACTTTTTTTTTCTAATGTGCAATCTAATGTTTTGGAAATCTTTTTTTAACACCTTTGTATGTTTAAAAATGTATTTATTTAATGTATAAATGTATATATGTATTTATTTTTAAAATTTAATTTATTTAAAATAATTAAAAAAGAAAATCAGTGTGGAATTCAGTGTATATGTGTGTAAAATGTTTGACAATGCACAGCTTCTTTTACAGAAATTATGTTTTTAGGTCTGAAATCACAAATTCTAGACTTTAATGTGATAAACTACAAAAGCTCCTAGTATGTACTTGTTGCTATTTACATCTTAGTCATGTCAAAAGTGCATCATATAAATTGCCTGACATGTAGTGGCACCCAAAGTCAAATTATAAAAGGCAACGTTGCATTAGCAAATCGTAAGATTGAAAATCTGATGTCAACATCAGATGCTTCAGAGCTCTACATATGTATTCTAATGGCATACATGCACAACAATTGAGTTTTGCAACTGGGCTGTTATTGAGCTACAACATCACAGTGTGAATCTAGCAGACGTATTACATATTTATCACAGTCACATTCACTGTTGAATCTTTAACTCAGCACACAAACCTGAATGCTGCCAGTCAGAACACCATACACATACACTCATCTAAAAGATTATTAGGAACACTATACTAATACTGTGGTTGACCCGCTTTCGCCTTCAGATCTGCCTTAATTCTACGTGGCATTGATTCAACAAGGTGCTGAAAGCATTCTTTAGAAATGTTAGCCCATGTTGATAAGATAGCATCTTGCAGTTGATATATGGAGATTTGTGTGATGCACATCCAGGGCACGAAGCTCCTGTTCCACCACATCCCAAAGATGCTTTATTGGGTTGAGGTCTGGTGACTGTGGGGGCCATTTTAGTACAGTGAACTCATTGTCATGTTCAAGGGATGGGCATGGTCAGAAACAATGCTCAGGCAGGCCATGGCATTTAAACGATGCCCAATTGGAACTAAGGGGCCTAAAGTGTGCCAAGAAAACATCCCCCACACCATTACACCAACACCACCAGACTGCACAGTGGTAACAAGGCATGATGGATCCATGTTCTCATTTTGTTTACAACAAATTCCTACTCTACCATCTGAATGTCTCAACATAAATCAAGACTCATCAGACCAGGCAAAATTTTACCCATCTTAAACTGTCCAATTTTGGTGAGTTCTTCCAAATTGTAGTGGAGATGAGTTGTATGAGTGACTGTTAAGGCACTCGTGATCGACTAGTTTTACCGCCGCAAATTAATTCGCAAGTTAAAATATCCTGTAATCTAGTGTGAGCGTGCATACGAGATGTTGAGCTCCTAACCGCGCACGACGGCAGAGAGGTAAGCGAGCGAGAGACCTTGCGCGTGCACCCTTGTCTCTTTCACACGCCAGTCAGACCAATTGCGGCAATTTTCGTCAACGAAATTAACACTGGTCTGCCCTGACATTTTACAGCGAGGAAAAGGACGCAAGCTTCCTTTGCCTAGTCAGGGCATTAAGAGCTTATGTGTCTCGCTCGCTATATATTGATAAAAATGCCTCAAAATACCTCAAATCATTACATTTTATTTTAATAATTTAATTGATGTGAGTCATCTAAACAATCTGACCCACTAGAATGAATTAGACTTTTTTCATTAGAGAGAAATTTCGAAAGGTTTTTTATTATTATGTGTGCAGCTGAAAGCTGTGTGTGCATTAAAAACTGTGATTTGTGGTCATAACTTCATCAAAGTATATCTTCCTCTAACAGGCTAGAGTCTCCAACAAGGACACTGACACTGGAGGCTCCCAAAGGTGTTGAAGTGAACGCGGGAGTAGGGGAATTCAAAGCTTCTTGTAGGAAAGATCTCACTTTAGAGTCTTCAGAAGGAGAGGTGAGTATGTTAAATTGTATTGGGGAAACAATACAGGTGTCAATAAGTTTAAAAAAAAAAAAATATATATATATATATATATATATATATATATTTATTTATTTTTTGGCATCTATAGTTTCATGAATAACTTTTAACATCCATGGAACCTTTCCTTGCCACTAAAAGTTAGTCTTCCAAAAATGGTTCTTCTATGGCAATACTGGAAAAAAGCCAGGACTGCCATTTGGTTCACAAAAAGGTTACAGGTTCTGATGAACAAGAAACTTCCAATATGCATAAACAAATAACGCACACTATTATACATCAAATTGGTGTGTCTTTACTGAACTCACTTTGTAAACATTCACTGTGCAGAGTGGACCATTTATATATAGTCCAGTATATATCGTGATGATATTTTTTAATTAATCCTATTCTGCCCCTCTATGGAAATTCAATTGACCTAAAATATGAATCCTTCAAAAACTTCATAAAGATATTGTGAAGTTTCGCATATGAATCGAACAGTTTAGTCCACTTTATACGATGAACAGATTTTATTTATGATTTTATTCACATTAACACTGATCAATGCACACTGGTCGATCATACTCTTCCACAAGAACCAATGAGTTTTGTTTACGAGCATCAAGCAAGTCAAGTGCCTTTGAGCTTTCATTGACTCTATTTGATATGCTCATATATCTGATATATATAGATATATCTGTGTTGATCAGTTTGTTATTAGATCCGTTCCTCAGTTGAAGTGATTTTGTCTCTTCAGAAGCTGTGGATTAAACTGCTCAATTCATTTGGATTACTTTAAGATGTCTTTTTGTACATTTTGTCTGCATGGACATTCAATAAAGGGACATAAATCTCTCAGATTTCAAAAAAAATGTTTAATTGGTTTCAAAGATGAACAAAGGTTGAATGGGTTTGGAATGTGAGTAATTGATGGCTGTTTTAGTTTAATGAACTAACCTTTTAAAACCTCAAACAGAAACATGATTCACTTTAGTAGTGTAATATTGGTTTTAGTTGAAGGTCAAGAAACAATTTAAAAGCAATTTGTGCTGAAATCCCAGTATATCCAAAGGGTTCACATACATTTTCTTCAACAAATAAGTTATTTTTTTATTTTTATTTTTTTAGTGCATGTACTGTACTTATATAAAGAGCTCTGAATGAGTTATCTAATGTTCACATCTCATATGTGTTACATTGGACCTTTTGTTAATGGGGGGAGCTGTGACTTTGCACAGTCCTATCTGGTCAGATGTAAGCGGATCATGTCCTCGATAATTGCCTCAACCAAACACGTCAAAATTACTCCAGATCTTTCTCCTTTTCCTTGTTCATGGTTTTTTTCGGTTCTTTGTCTTCTTGTTTTACACTCGTCTGTCTACATCTTTCTCTATCTACAAGCCTAGTTCACTGTCCAGTAATTGCAGTGTTAGTGTAATTCTAAGAGCACCTTGAACATGTTTAGATTATCCATGCTCACTCCCACCCCCCTTTCGTTCAAATTAGTGCCGTCGTGTTGAGCTGCCTAGCTCTCTTTCTTCCCCTCTCACTTCTTTTGTCTCTCTTTCCTTCTCCTATCTCACTTTAGTTACTGCCCAGGCTATTTAATTAACTTCCATGAGTCCAAGTCATATATCATGCTGCTCTGTCACCTCTTTGGGAAAAAAAAAAAAAAAAGTTTTTTTTCTTCTTTTTCTCTCTTCTTCTTTTGTGCTTGAGATAGCAGGATGGTGCAGTAAGGAGTGATATAAGGGAAAGTCATTGAAGCACAGTATGGGCACTTGTAAAACTTGGTAATTTCTTAAAGCATTAAAATTCACACAAATATTAGTATTGTTATTTATCAACGCATTCTCACCCCAAGGCGTCACCTTTGACCATGCTTCAATATTTGACGTTTTAGGCGCCCTTTAGCGTCACTTACATGACGCGATCCTACGGCGTCATCTAACTGACGCTAAAGGAAAGCGTCAGTTAGAGGACGCGGTTAGGTTTAGGTGTGGGGTGGGGGTAGGGTACACGCGATCCTAGGGCGTCATCTTACTGACGCTAAAGGGCGCCTAAAGCGTCAGATATTGAAGCATGTTCAAATGCTTCCCAAGGCGTCAGTTAAGTGACGCCTTGGGGGTGAGAATGGGCTGTATTTATTCACTTTTAATTAATGTATGCATGTATGTATGCATTTATTTATTTATTTTTCAGTGGAAAACAAAATGAGACATTTTATTTAGGGAATAACCGGGTCTCTTGACAACGGAATTACAGTAAATGGGGACTGGTGCTAAAAATTACTCAAAAGCACCATAAAAGTGATCCCATTGTAATCAGTTAAGCTGTCTATACTAAATGTGACACAGCACAACAAATTCCTGACAGTAATCTGATGCACCATTCAATTTCTGACGTTACACGCTCGCACTACCTCTGAGGCGAAGAACAAATGGATTTTCAAATCACGATGTGACAAATTTATACACATTGTGTTAGCTGCGGGAATAAATCGTTCACTTTGCAAGCTTATGTACAATACCGTTCAAAAGTCTGTAAAATCCTTCCCCACCCTTTCCGCACAGCCCCACCAGCAGCCTTTACTGGGCTGTGTTGTGGAGGAAGCCGCAGGTAGGTGCCACAGCCCTCTCCAGCCCCTCCCCCCACTAAACGCCGGGCTAAGCGGCAATCCTGAGATGGGCTCCTCAGAGATTGGACACATTTCTTTCCAAGAGGTGGTAGCAGGCCCACTCCTTCCCCCGGTGGAGGGCTGGGGGAGAATCCTCTTTTCTCTGTAAGAATTGACTCTCCCGTCTCTGAGCACAGAGTTGTCGGAAAACGCGCCCTCGGGCCGTGCACCCCTCGTCCACCTCTATTTCAGAGTCGGATGACAGTGTGTGCCTCCCCCGCACCGTACCGCTCTCATCCCCCTCTGTTGCCAGACCCCTGGAAGAGCAGGCTCCCGTGGAACGCTGGTCCTTCCCTGGCCTCCTCTGTCAGGGTGCAGACGGGGCCACTATGCAGTCCACGTCCGGGCCGGTAACTCTGCTTCGCTGCCCCACGAGGGGACGTCTGTGGTTCGTCTGTCCTGCTTGGGCGCACACGTGATTCAGTTTATGTGGTTTCCTCCCCGCTACATGAGAGTCTGCTTCACTATGGTGGCTGGAAATGCCCCTGTCATGAGAATGGAGGTTGCTACCCTACTGGTGAAGGGGCGATCGAGACTGTCCCTCCAGCCGAAATGCTTCTAAAGCCCCTACTTCATTGTCCTGAAGAAATCTGGTGGGTTACGGCCAATCCTGGACCTGCGCATTTTGAACCGCTCCCTTCACAGGCTGCTGTTCAAGATGCTCACGGCCAAACACATTTTCGAATGTGTGCGCACCCAGTATTGGTTTGCAGAGATCGACCTACTGGTTTGAAGGACGCCTACTTCCATGTCTCCATTCCCCCTCGACACAGACCGTACCTACAGTTTGCTTTTGAGGGGCAGGCGTACCAGTACGCGGTTCTCCCTTTCGGGCTAGCCCTGTCTCCTTGCATCCTCACAAACGTCATCGAGGCAGGAACTCCTGCCCCTTCAGGAACTCAGTGTTCGCATCGTGAACCAAATTATCAGCCAATCTCGATGACTGGCTGTTACTAGCTCACACTCGAGACCAGGTTTGCGAACACAGTGCTCTGGCACTTAGCCTGTCTGGGCCTTCGGGTCAACTTGTAGAAAAGCAAACTTTGCCCCATGAAGAGATGGACATCAACTCGGTCGCCAAGCAAGCATGCACAGACACTGCTGACTTGTCACACCCTGACAATTTGAGGGTAAGAGTGAGGTTCCACTGAAACTGTTTCAGAGGCTCCTGGGGCAGACGGCATCTGCAGCTGCGGCAACGCCACTCTGATTGCTTCATATGAGACCGCTTCAGCTTTGGCTTCGCAACCGACTCCAGAGGTGGGCATGACAACACGACACCCTCTGAGTACCAGTTACTCCAACCTACCTTCAGACCTTCTCCCCGTGGTCGAACCTCAGTTTTCTACTGGCTGGAGTGCCCTTGGAATGAGCTTTCCGGCATGTTGTTGTCTCAACAGATGCCTTCACTGCAAGCTGGGGCACCATGTGCAATGGAAATGCTGTCGTGGCTCCTGGAAAGGACCCCAGCACCTATGGCATGTCAATTGCCTCGAGTTGCTGGCAGTAAGTCTTGCTCCGCACTGCTTCTGGGTGTTTCAACGTGTACTAGTCCGATCAGACAATACCGCCACTGTAGTGTAAATCAACTATCAAGGTGGTCTATGCTCTCGCCGTATGTCGCAACTCACCTGCCACCTCCTCATATGGAGTCAGAAGTATCGGAGTTCGCTGCGAGCCATCGGAGCAAACATTTGCAGAGCTGCAGACTTGGCGACACCCAACACATTCGCTTGATTCAATCTCCGAGTGGAGCCTGTGTCCTCTCATGTACTCGTTTTAACCAGCTAGTACCTGACCCGCTCAGGTGTGACGCCAGTGTCTATTGCCTGCGTGTTTGCTAGGTGCACCCTGCCCCTCTGGGCGACCCCCACAAGTGTATTTCCACTGGAAGCCCCTCTAAGCCCTCAGCAAGCAACCTTGCCACCCCTGAGGTTGAAATATTCCACTTGCAGTGTTCTCCATATGCATATAATAATGTGAACTACAATCTTTGAAACATGATAAAAGAAGAAAAAAAAAACTTTTATATAAATTACAGCAAACAAATTGTGCAAACTATTTCTGTTGTGTTAAGGCTTTATTTCGTTCTGTTGTACATTTTCTGTTGTGTTGTGGCTCATTTCTGTTGTGTTGTGTCATTCATTTTGTTATGTTGTGGTTCAATAGTTTTGTTGTGAACTTATGTTTGCTTTTTAAATGTCGTTGTGTTGTGCACTACTAGGCCACTGTAACTTATTCATTGAAAAGTTTCGACACAAATAACAATTAATTGACAAATCTCTCATGAACAATTAGAGCTAGGTTGGATGTT